ATATAAAGTTACTTTTAGATCATTGGTAATTTATCTAAAAAGCTCCTACTAATAGGTTTTTATGAGATAGTGCCCTCATATTTGGTTTTTAAACTTTAATTAAAATACTCGTAGTGAAATTATAAAAAGATAATTATTATCCTTTAATTAGGGTTGACTTATTTGTTTAGGACTGAACCAATTTTTTGAGTTTAATCGAACTAGTCTAGTTCAAGTAAATCCTAACTATTTAATTGATTTAATTAAGCTCTAGATTACTCATTTATTTTTCCAAAGTACCTTGGTCTTCTCCACCTCCATTCCATCACCTCCTCCTCTGTTACCTCTGTCCTCTTCATATTTGCTTTCTCCTCCTAATCCTCTCTCTTAACTTCTTCTCCCTCTCCTCATCTTCCTCTCACTACATGACCTCCTTCTCCTAAACATATTATATTTCATCCTAATAGTTCTAGAAAAATTAAGATAGATTTAATAAAAATTTAAAGAGTTATACTTGAGCTATACTCGATCATCCATTCAACTCAAAACTATCCTATTTTAAAAATTAATTACTCTAAATTCATACAAAAATAAAATATATATATTGAATATATCATCACCTTACCCTAGTAATTCTTTAGAAGTTTAAAAAATTTTGGTAAAAATTCAATGAGTTATACTTAATCATCATTTCAACAAAAAAAAATTCTCGTTTAAAATTTATTCATCTTAATAAATTATAGAAATTAATACTAAATATCTTAGAATTATGTGCTAATAGTTAAAAAAATAAATTGATTTGATAAAAATATCTTGGTTAAACTTGTATTACACAGCTTATACTCATCCACTAATTCAACGAAGTTCGACCGATTTGAATCAACCTGATCCAAATCATAATCGTTAGATCGGATTGAATTGATCCATGGATTTATCACTTGAAATGATTCGATTCAAGAATATTATTAATTTTTATAAAAACTAATTATAGGAGTCTCATCCGATAAAAGTCACTAATAAAGAGCTTTTTTTTTTTTGTCGGTAAATTGCCATGCATCCTTAGATCAATTGGTAGAATATATTACTTTAGTTTCGTATGGGGTGTAAGACTCGAGGCAGAACCTCTATCCCCACGTATCATGAAAGAGGAATCCCTCGAAACAATAACCATTGTCATGATACAACGTAGCTAGAGAAGCCATTAATCGCCGCTGCTGGAAGCTCCACTCTCATCCAAAACTAATCGTCGACAAAAAGTACATAGTCTTTTGTCGACCGCCTCCCACTGCCGTGTGCGTCGTCATACACCTGTGTGTGTGTGTGTGTGTGTGGCCGATTTTTAAAAAAAATATCTGAATTTTTTTCAATAGTATTCGAAATTTGAAAATTTTCATAAAGCACCCCTGAAAAGATTATTTTGTTGAACTCTAAAAAAATTTATTACAACCCTAACTTGAATCTTATCTCCACGAGCGTTTGATTGTTCGACCTTCACATACCCATTAATTCTTGTCATGGTGGATCACAACCCTCCCTCGTGTGGAGGCACGAGCAACGAAGGAGGGGGGGAGGGGGTACTGATGTTACCATCAGCAAATGGAGGTGTAAGTGATCATGGAAGAAGAGGTTGATCAATTTTGTTATCCAACGTGCACGTAATACATAAGTGGCTAGGAGAGGAACAAGGGATGGTCAATGTTGTCTGCTAACTCACGCACAATAGCACAAAATAGTTAGGAGAAAGGAGGGGGTGATCGATGAGGTTTACTATCGACCATGACGAGTAAGTAAGGATCAACGAATGGACGTAACGACCAGGTATGAGGTGAAGGGGGGCAACCAATTAGGTGGAGGCATGGTTAGGGCTCGTGCGAAGGCATGACAGAGGATGGTGATGACCGAAGTAAAATAGTTATTTCTAAAAACACATATTCTACAAAACTTTTGAAATGTGAAGAGATTTAAAAAAAAATCTAAAGTTAGAGTTTTTTTTTTTAATTGACCCTATAATAGACCCTGTCTCCCTGTACGTATTGGACTTTCGATTCCTTTTATCGTTATCTGGATTCTGCTCCTCCTCTCTCATAGGCAATGGTATACACATGCTCTTCCACCCGCATCACTGTCACAGGCACGCACAGGTATTAATTGCCGCCCCTATCATTATATGCCAATTATTTGCGTGGGAGATCGCGAGAGAAGGACGACAAGCTCCATCGATCCATATGGGGAACTGCCAGGCGGCGGAGGCAGCGACGTTGGTGATCCATCACCAGGACGGCAGGCTGGAGAAGGGCTACCACTCCCTCCCCGCCACCCAAGTCATGGCCGCCAACCCCGGCCACTACGTTGCTGTCGTCATCACCACCCCCCGTCCTCGCTCCTCCGACCCCCGCAGCTCGCCGACGAGGTACCTTAAGCTGCTCCGGCCGGACGACGCCCTCCTCATCGGCCATGTCTACCGCCTCGTTACCTTCGAAGGTCGCTCTCGACGACGCCTTCTTCCTGTCGTTGTTCCGTCTGTTGATCTGAAGTCTTCGAAATTATTGGCAGAGGTGTTGAGGGAGTTCGCATCAAAGAAACAAGTCAGGCTGAGCCGGCTGCTCGTCAAACGCAAGGAGATAAGATCCAGGCCCAGGAAAGGTAGCGGAGCCGAGCACTATGACAACGGTGGTCGTGTGGCGGAGGCAGAGAATTCACCGGCGGCGATGGTAAGTTCGTGTACAGTGATTTCTTTCAGTACAGCCAAACAACCACCGTTAGGTCCAAGAAAAGTCGTGCTCTTTATGGGGAGGAGGAAGAGACTCGTTACCAAACGGATGGCCATGAGTCCGGATCGCCATTTAATCCCTTGTTTGATGTGATTTGCTGCAGTCTCGGGAAGAGACTGACCAAGTGGAGGCGCAGCTGGACACGGAGTTGGAGGAAGCCGTCCGTGGCATGATGAGCACCGGAGCGAGGGCTGCTGGTGCACGACACAGGCAGTGGAAGCCAGCGCTGCATAGCATCGCCGAGGTCGCAACAATTTCAAGTGGTGCAGTGCAACATGAGAGAACAGAATAATACCATGAGATCACCTGTTTTTGTTCGGTTCTGCAAACTTTGTGGTGGATGAAACAAGAATTCCTCATGCAAAAGTGCTCTTTTGTGTTTGCCAAATTCTCAAGGGGCGGTGGCGGTGGTGGTGGTCCTCTGATTCCGAGTAAAAGGTGGCATGCTTTGCTGCAAAAGTAGGTGGAGCTCAATAATCTCACCATGTGTTCTTGATAACTCCTTTTAAACTGTAGGGTCAGCGATCTTTTGCATGCACGGCATAACAGCTAATATTACCATCTCAATCATAGGATGCAATATGCATTTTAATCACAGGAACTATGTGGGTGGGAATTATCTTTTGCTAATCACACAATCTGCAAAGATAAGAGGGTACAATGAAGATGGACCTCCTTCCTGTGCACATAGTTAGTAGTTGAGATGGGGAAGAGAAAGAGTGATGATTTGCGAGAAGGCTCTATAGACTTTTTGTTTGATACTTCCACCTCCCAAGATAATAGATTGGAAAAGGTCATCTGCATGTCACAAGTAGGTAAAACATAGCCTGCTAAAGACACAGGCAGGCTTTGAGGAATCATCATCTACTAATCCACTAATGATAAAAATGCACACTTCACAGTTGTACGTCTGGAATGTCAGAGAATTAACCAAGAGGAATAAATAAAAAAGTGGAATCAAATGATTCCAAAGACCACAAAAATTCCAAATGAGGTAGCATGTAGTTTATGCCACTGCACAGACACATTGGAGAAACAAGAAAAGAGAACCTCTTATTTTTACCGGCTATTTGGTGTCGAAATTTGCTCAACCTTGCTCGCCAACCTCAGCAGCAGATCTCAAAGACCCCTGCAACGATGAGCGACAGAAAGTTGTCAGTAACAAAATTTTCGATCTGCAGGAACTCCAGCATGACATTTGTCTTGTGTATCCATGTTAACTGATAATAATATATCTTCCTTGAAGAAAACAGATATTAGTAATTAGTGACTGCACACTTCTTCTAGCTCACTAGTAATACTGCTGCAAGAAACCATCAAAATTTTTCCTTTGTATAGGGAAGAATAAGGATGCTAATATGAATTGTGCTTTAGTCGATCATCAATTAACTTCGATTAGGCCAGCACAACTTTGCCACTTAGGTATCACCCTCCCATTCAAAATATAAGATGACCATTCTGATAATGTCCAAGCACCACAGATCACTATTAAACAAATAAATTTCTGCATGTAAGAAAGCTAAAACAGACTAAAATTCTACAATGAGCCTAGACTTCGTGATTATTACAGGAAAAAAAAAAAGTAGTGAGTCTCTCTCAGCTCAGAAAGGAATCCAGGGATATCACCAGCCCACATATGTGGACTTGAAATGAAAATAAAGCATGGGAACCAAATCAAATCAACAGACTTAAGCATCTGGGAAGGCCCAATCAAATGTACAACTAAGTGGGTACATTCTTATTTAAACTCCTAATTTAGGCCAGAAACAGAAATGTAGCATGTCCAGCAGAAAGGAAAAAGATCTATGATCCCTTTTATATACTGGAAATGATCATCTCATCTCATTTTATTGACCACGTATAAGCTGCAACATAAACTCATCTTGAAACATTTAATTAAGGGCCCTAATGTCATCCACGTTGTAATTTAACCTACACTCCAAAAGAAATCAATGTCGGTGACTTAGGATATGTATTTTTCATCTACTTCATAAAGTTCCTCTCACAATTATAGTTCTTTGCAGATCTTATGTTCTAACAAATAGCTTCAGATGATAATGGATTGACATTATATCCTTGCTTCCTAGAAAGTGTGGCCCACTGCACAAGGCTCCCACCAGTGTCCAGTGCATAATGTCACATCCTTGCTCCCTACACTGATTATCCTTGTTAACTTTCACTCTTCATCTCATAATTGTTCAAAGAAGACATATCCAAACCCTTTAGAACAATTTTACACAATTTAAGTTAAACAATGACTCGTTAAGGTTTATCAAATATTTGACATGGTATAAAGTGGTCTCATGTGCTTCACTTTGGTCAAATTGATCTGGTACCTATCACCCACTGCACAAATCAGGGACAGCAACAACAAAGATAACTTTTGCGTTAAGCATCTACATCAGTAATCACCATATATTATCAACTTAAAGTCACCAAACTAATGACTGATATATGCCAATGGCTGACATATAGACAGTAGAGGTTCAAATTAGGAGGGAAAATATTTTTTACCAAGGTCTTCAATTTCGAATAATACCATTCGTACTGGGTGGTACGTACCGGTCCGCCTGCAAACCGGTACATGGACCGCCCATTACCGGACAGTACCATCGATTGAGTTATTTTCGCCCCGTTATCGTTTTAAATCGACAATGACCGAGGGAGAAGAAAGAAGAGGGAGAAGGGGAAAAAAGAAAAAGGAGAAGAGAGGCGACGTCGCAGATATATATATATATATAGAGTACCGTACCGAGCGAATCTCGAAACTCCGGTACGGTACGAAATTTCAATCCTTGCTTTTTACAATCTTTCATCACTATTATATTAGAGATATTATACATATGTATGTGTATGTGAAGTCAAGGGAATATTAAGGTTATAACATAAAAATATGAAGCACACTACTTGATAGGGCACATTATGGATCATCCTACGAGGATTTGGCCCCCGCCACATCAGCTCGAGCACAAGACCTCAGGAGGGAGATAGAGCCACGACAAATGTGTCACCGATAATCCGGGTTGCAACAGTCATCTCCTCACGCCGTTCGACGTCACGCCAACTAGTCCCACTGAAACAAGGACCGTTCCGGGAAACCTGAGACGACACCACATGGCGCCATCCCACGTATCTCGGATAGCGAACACTCGAAGGTACATTCGTCGCTCACCGGGGTTGGCCGTACGGTCGACCCCCGGGAGTCACAATAAAAACCCCTCGCCAGCATATGACGAGGGGCATGAGAATATTAGCAGACCACTGACTCAAGCTTCGGAGGGGCCCAAGTCAAGATCATCCCTCATCCCGACCTAGGCCTGTGCGCAGGAATCCAGGTGCAGCAAAGGTGAACAAGTTCGGGGAAGATGCGTGTCGCCACCAAGTCTAATCTCGACCCGACCAACCGAGATCTTCGCCCTCAGGACGATCCTGGACGTCGCTAGTCGGACCAAGCCGTGTCAGCCATACGGTCATGGCTCGAGGTTCGTGAAACATTTTGGCGCTAGAAGGAGGGCCCAAAGCTTGCACCTCGGCCGAGCAAACTCGCTCCCAAGTCGTGCACCTTGGTTGTGAGCCCTTGGCTCCCCTACAGGAGGGAGTACTGATAAGGTCATTTAGTCACACATTGGTTGAGGCGTATGAAAACCAAGAGTTCATAAGTCCGCCAGGTCTCCCTTACCTTCAGAGGCGCCTTTTGGAGCTCACATGCTTCGAAAGGACAAAACCGTGTAGGTATGCCTATCGCCTGAAGCGGACAATTCCTCGCGAGCCTATGGGCCGCATCAATGGTCGGCCGACCAAATGGTCCCTTATCACTACTGATGGTGGAAATCAAGATAGGTTACATAGGGTTAATTTCTAGTTGACCTTCATCTAGTTGATCCAAATAATCATGCTAATCAAGCCAAGATAGATCAACATGCAACCAATCCAATCACTTGTGAGTCACATTCACAACATCTTATTCAACCCAAGTTCATAAATCATACTATAACAATATAGAGCATAAACTTAGCAAGACTTGGACAGAGAAATTACCTGTTATATTACTTGACGCTAGATTTTCCTGGCACAGACCATCTCCAACTCTATGACTCCTGTGTGGTTTATATACTCGATCTTTTTATTCTCAGACAAATCAAACTAGACTAAATTGTTTTCATATTAATATTGAATCATTGATCATATGACCATCAACCCTAGCAGGTAAACCAAACTTTATGGTGCCCTTTGCAGCCTGTTTTTAAAAATTAGGCTACAATGCCATTTAAGAACATCAGTTGGTTATAGCTCTTGACTTCCATTACTAACCATGTCAAATAACAAATTTCAGCTTTATGGCATAAGCATGTAAAACCGACCTTAGCTTCATGCTGGTTGACATGAGTCCTATATCAGTTGGCTATCATGTAGGAACACCTTTGGCAAAACATGAAACCCATGTCGGTGCCACTCAAGGATGTTTCAGCAACATTTGCGCTAAGTGCCAACAAGCCAAATTACATGAGCTCTATAACAATCAACACTGGCTTTTTTGTTGATACCTTTCTGAAGACTTATATACATTAAACACTCCTCTCTTGTAGGGACCTGATGCAGACTTAAATGCTTAAAACACACAAGTTGAAAATCAGGGCCCTTCCACTCGATAACCTCAAAATACATTTTGTTGAGTTTAACTTCAACAAATGGCACTCCATGAACCAAATGTAGAACATGATGAACAACACTTACATACATAACCCCTTCCACTCGATAATCTCTAAAATACCTTTTTCTAGAGTTTGTCATCCACAAGTGACACTCCATGAAACAAATAAAGAACATGATGATCAACACTTGCATACAAAAACTAAGGTGGTCTCGAAATCTAAAGAGTATCAAAGGGTCTGAGGGACAGACATTCTTAGGAGAGATTTTTATCTTGAATTGCTATCTCATTTTCCACTTTTTTTTATTTATTTTTAACTTGATAGCATGGTAGGATCTCGAAGATCCCTTTATGCATCGAATCAACCAATTACTCGACGTCCTAGTTGAGAAATAGCAGACACAACACTGTGTTAACCTCATACGAAATATTGCTGATCTAAACCAGATACTTCAATGCATATTAACTTTTTTGATACAAAGCGTTCGATCTAGTTCTAGATAAATGGAGGAAGACATCAAGAGGGACGGAGAAGAGGCCGACCTGATCTTCTTGACGATGATGGCGCGGAGCTTCCGGGAAAATTCCTGGGAACGGAGGCGGAGCTGGAGTTTCTTGCGGGCGAGGACGCGCTTCTCGGAGTTCTTGAGGTGGTAAGGTACCCGCCGCTTGATGAGGCGCTCCATCCCGCTCTCCCGCATCTTCCGCTCCATCAGCCTCAGCGCCTGCTCCAGGTTCCCGTTCCGCACCTCCACCCGGATGCCCCGCGCCCCCATCCACCCACCGAGACCGCCTCCGAGCGAACCACCCGACAGTTGAGGCTCCGGCCGCGGCCGGAGGAACGCTAGGGACGAGGAGAGCTGCCGGACCACGCGATTCATGACAAACGACGGCAGTTGCACAGGAAAATACACTTTCGATCGGTGAAAACCCAAGAGGAAGTTGCAACAGGAGGCGAATACAAGACCAACGAAGCAGAGGCGGTGCTGCCTGCGACCGGAGGCGGCGGCGTTAGGGCAACGTGTCCCAGCCGCAGAATCGAGTAGGCGATACAACCAGGCCGGGTTGGGTCATGACCTCGCCACGGTCCGGTTCAGTTCGCCCAATGTGCAAATCGGGCCCCAAGTCACTGTCATTGAATATTTAATCTCAAAATCGTGGTCGCACCTCAATAGACGACGTAATGAGTTCGATGAAAGCGTAAATAACACGATTAGCTTGGCGATTGGGTCGGTCGATTGCAGCCTCGGGCAGACAGCATAGTTTCTTTGCGGGGATTCCGGATTCTGTTCGCATATTGAGCACTAATGAATACATCATCATCAATCGACGACACTCACAGGTTGGACAATAGCGATACGCCAACCGAGGCGTCGTCTGCTTCACGTTGGTGAAGGCAACCAAAATGTTTTTTTCTGACGTGTCCGCCTACTCCGACACTTACCTCGCTTTCGGGATCCTCCACAGTCGTCTCACCGACTCCTGGAATCGACGAGGAATGATAGGAGCGTTCGGGTGGGCCCCATCCTAGTTTCACGTGGGGATGTAGAATTTTCTTTTACGGCTCTCGACAGCATGCAACTAAGAATCGTTCTACGTGTGCTTGTTGCCGTGGCAATAATATAAATATCAGCGAAGTAGAGCCTGTTACAAGGTCCGTTGGTCAATGTAACACTGTTACGCACGCACGGCCGCTATTGGCTTTGGCCGTGCGTTTGGTTTGGCCCCCTCCTCGTTGACCATTTGGTTTCTGGTGTCATTTACGCTTCTTCCCCCTGCGCTCTTGTTTTCTTAGTGTGCGTATATATCCTTCCCCACTGCGTCCCTCCTTTAGAGCACCGCCCGAGCGAGTGACCAGAGAACGCGAGGATAACATCGATCGACCATGGGGAATTGCCAGGCGGTGGACGCGGCGGCGGTGGCGGTGATCCAGCACCCCGACGGGGGGGTGGAGAGTTACTCCTGTCCCCTCTCTGCCAGCGATATCATGGCCGCCAACTCCGGCCACTACGTCGCCGTCATCATGACCGTCACCCACCCTCGCTCCTCCTCCGCCGCCTACCATCGCAGCAGCAGAAGAAGCGGAGGTGGAGACGGAAAGCAGGTGAGGTACCTGAAGCTGCTCCGCCCGGACGACACCCTCCTTGTTGGCCACTTCTACCGCCTCGTCAGCTTCGAAGGTACGCACGCCCCCCGTCCATCGATGGGCTTTCACCTCTCTTTCTCTCCATTTCTGACTCTCCTTCGTCGTCCATCTACTACAGATGTGCTGAGAGAGTTCGGCTCGAAGAGGCGCGTGAGGCTCAGCAAGTTGCTGGCCAAGAAGGAGGAGGAGCTCAGGAAGCAGCGCGAGGAAGCGAACCCTTCTTCTTCCGTGGTAAATATCTTCACTGTGCAAGGGTATTTTCGGTAACCAACATTTTCCGTTTTCTTCTCTCGTTCTCGTGAACCGGTGGACTTCCGAACCGGGAATTCCGCGGTTCAGATGACCCGTCTACATCTTGTCATCTCATATTATAAGAGAACTACGACAATAAAATAGAAAACATGGCCTTTTATTTTATTAAGACATATAATTTATAATGGTTTAATTTGAACAACTAATGTAAAGAAAAATAATTTGAACAAATAAAAGGAGACTTTATGCAAGTCAGAACCTAACCTACTGTTAGGTCTAATTTATTTATAGAACGTCATGGATCACGGATTTGCTAAAACTCAGTGAATTGAAAGATCAATTGACGAAGCAATATAATATATTTTTGCGGGTACAAACATGTTAGCAACTTTCAAACTATTGAATTCGATGTACGACGAGCTAAACCTAAAGCACAAGAACTGCTATGTGCCTCACATCGTAAGGTTTCACGGAATCTTCGTCTCAACTCATCTCTTTTGATCTAATTCAACCATATAATTTTATTTTGATTAATCTTTTTGGATAAATTCTCAAATAAAATACTCTATTTTTTTTATAGAGTAATCTTTATTTCTTAAAAGATGATATTATCCATAGCCATCGACTCATTATAACCACCTCTACCTAATTATCTTCAATTCTTGTCATTGCTCTTGTCTTTTGTTGTCATCGCTCTCATCCTCATTTATCATCTGTATCATCTCATGGAGAAGAGGGTTGAGGACGATGGTGGTAAGGATGAGGGCAAAGACAATGACATAATAGGTGAAAGACAAAGACAAGAATGAGAACGAAAACGACGATAATGAAAGCGAACGAGAAAGAGAGTAGACCTCATGACAGGTGGTGAGTGATAATAGATAAAGGTAATGGTCGATAAGCAGAGGTTAATGATAATTTTATCTTTAAAAAAAAAAATATTATAAAGAAATTTATCTAATCTCTTTGGATCCGTCTAATTTGCATTTCAAACCAGCACAAAGCAGTCGGTCCAAAATTGCTTCTTCACCTAAAAATTTGTATGGATGGCCAGAAGAACCCATTAAGCCTGACGTGATTGGTTAACCATACAATCTAACATACAGATTCTACTTTTGTCCCTTGTCATTTAAGATACGATCAACATAATGGATGATTGGGATATTGTAGCCTTATTATGTCCATTCATGTACGATGATGTTGCACATTGGCCTCTGTTATCAGGTGGAGGGAGAGGAGGAAACCATGGGAAGTGTTGACAGCAGAAACAGCGTCAGGGTGGCACGGAAGGGGCAATGGAGGCCGGCATTGCAGACCATTGCAGAGGCTGATAGCTTCAAGTAGATAATTCTCCCGGTTTGATGCACGTAATGTTTAGATCATGGTGTTCACAGCCTGCGCTTCTTGGTTCGCCTCTCACACTCTATATCTAAGAAGAACATGTTGTTGTTGTTGTTGGCTCAACATTGCGTCGATTGAACCTGTGTTTGTTGTTTGTTCTAATTTGGTTCTGTAAATTAAGTATAATAGGAACTTGAATTCAATCAGGTCGAGACAATTGAGTATACTATTAGTTTCCAATCCAAGGTTCAACATGACGAGGATCCTGTTAATTATTAAAGTTGATAAGGCATATTTTGGGTTCGAGACAAGTCACCGTCGACGTCACACGCCAAGTCACAACCGATGCCAGAATCCAATGCCACACGTCGTCAGAGCCCCATGTCGCACACCAAGTCGGGTTTCGTACCAAGACACTGTGTAACACGACCATTCCGAGAGCTCGGGGCGATGCCGTCTGACGTTGCTCATACATCCCCCAAGACACCAGTTGGTCAGATGCATCATCCCATCCCACAAGAGTCAGCGGTTATACCGAACTGACATATAACCAACCCTTGCACAATAGTATAAAAGCCCCTGGCCGACGTTCGACCAAGGGGAGGCCATTTAATCATTGACTAACTTGCTCGTCGGAGAGGCCAAAGTTGGGAATCACTCGACGAAGGTCGTTTTTGCAGGTGAACGATCGCCCCCTACCCGCGAGTGTTTCAACCCGGGAGTTGCCATCCGGTATACAAAGGAGAGCAGTCAATCAGCCTGGATCCCGACCAACACCAGCTAGCGCTCCTTCCCAAGGACACGTCTATCTCACGAAGATAAGCTGCCAACCACCCCAAAGATGGAGAGACACAACTCAGCATACACGACGCCCGAATCGACACACTAAAAAACGCTGATCAACGCCCCGTCGTGAGGGCCCGATCGACTTTGGCATCCAGCTCAATCGAGAGAAGACTCCCGACATTGACCAGTGGACCAAGCCGTGCTAACTCATCAACCACAGTATACTTGTTCGATATCAAAAGTAATACATTTTCAGATGAATCACCTTCATAATTATATTTTCAGATAAACTAAGTTAGAGCCATAAATTTATATTCTTTCCTAATTTGGTCATAGTTCCATGTAGGTGATGAACATAGACAGGTAGAGCCGACACCAAAAGTATCTATGTGTCATCGTATAAATGTTGTCATTTGTCTCACATAATATATAGTATCTCTATTTGTTAATGCGAGGTTATAAAATTTGTAATATTTTAAAATAAAATATATTTCTTTAATATTTTGGTTGTTTTAAAGGAAACATCGTAGTCTATAATAGGATAAAGTTGTACATTCATATAAAAAAAACCGAAAGCTAAATGCATTTTCATTCGTGAAGGGGTTTTCTGTTCGATAAATAATTGTATTATCATGAATTTAACTGAAATTATCTATTTTAAAATATTATGAAATATGTTTATCATATAAAAAGGTCAATTTAAGAGCTGTACAACTAATGATGAACAAATCTCCATGTCTTGAAAAAAGAAAATCTCACAAGCAATTTAGCAAACAGTATGTAAAGAAAGAAAAAAGAGAAAAAAAAAAAAAGAAACTTGAAAGGAAAAAGAATCATCATAAATCCATAAAATGATTGATAGTGTGGAAGTAAAAGATAAGCCTATACATATTTTGTATGCAAACTTATATATCCAAATATGATCCAAACGCTATTCGAAATTCTCATTCAGCCTTATATCATCCCATCCGAGTGATTACATGAGTCTAAGATAAGTTACGTTTTGCATCGTATCATATCTTATGGAAAAATAATAATTATTCAGCAAAATATTTCTATTTAAAAAATAAAAAATATAATGCCAAATAAACATAAATGACAAACAATTCGTTTGAGGAAGGTGTTCGGGTCTGGGAATCCTTATCTAGTAATTAGTAGTCGTGTACGATAGATCCAAGTAGACATCAATAGAAAAGAGCACATGGGATACCCCTTGTTGACGCGGCGGCGTCAAATGTCTTTATTTACCCACACGTCAATGAGAGACACAACAGGGCCCCACCAGCAGGCCTATCTCTACGGCCAATCATAATCCAGAAAGGGTGGCACGTCACGGATTTACCTCCGTGGAGTTGCTTTGAGATTAGTAAAGGAACTGATACGTAGACGGGTCGCTGGAGATGTTATTATTGGATGAATCGCTCGACGCGGACCGAGACGCGTTTATCTCGGCCCGTTTAGTTGCGCCGCGTCGGTAACACCTTCCTCCTCCCTCCCCAATATAAAATCCTTTGCCCTCTCTCTCTCTCCACTATTTCTTACCCACCAGCCTCTCGCCTCGCCTTTGCCTCGCCGCCCCAGATCTAAGGCTCCATAAGATGAGCTACTACAACCAGCAGCAGCCTCCCGTCGGAGTTCCCCCTCCCCAAGGTATCCATTCGTCCATCCTTGTTAGGGTTGGTTCGGTTTCTTTGGTTTCGGATCTCTGATCATCGTTTTTATCTGTTTCTTGCTAACTTTAGGTTATCCGCCGGAGGGGTACCCGAAAGACGCCTACCCGCCACCGGGGTACCCACCACAGGGTTACCCGCCGGCCGGTTACCCGCAGCAGGGGTACCCACCGCCTGGATACCCTCCGCCGTACGCTCAACCGCCGCCGCCGCAGCAGAGCAGCGGGCCTTCCTTCTTGGAGGGATGGTAATGCAAACCAAACGATCTCTTTCCCTGTACCTTTTTCCCTTGTTTTCGTCTCCCGTTCCCCTCTTCTCGGTCGCCATTATGGAAGTATCGAACGGGATCCGATCTGCGACCCCGCGGCCTCCCAACCGGCGCTGGACCAGCAGATCCGCGCCTCCGTCGTCCGCATCGCCGCCGCAGGGTCATCTGGGACGCCGATCTGAGCCAGATTCCGTTGGTCTCACGGCGGTGGCGGCGACCGGCGCCAGGTAGCGGGATCCACGGCTATCGTGCGCGGGGCGGTTGTGGAGGCGCGTGAAGGACCCAGACGGATCACGTTCTTTGTGACTTACGTGTTCACCACTTTGTTCTGTTCGTTTCCTTTTAACGCTTTCTCGTGCCATAAATGAATGGGGTTGGTTTTTCTTTATCCGCACCCCTCATCCCCCCAAAACCATTTCGCCACGTGTCCAAAATCGACCATGGTCAATTACATTTCAGGCTTCTAACAGATTGTGGATGGTGTTGGTGATTTGTGGTGCAGCTTGGCCGCTCTTTGCTGTTGCTGTCTTTTGGATGCTTGCTTTTGAGTTGGAGCCAAGGTCGGGGGGGATAAACTCGTGCGTCCTGTTTGCAAGACGTGGCGTTTCTTCTTAGATCAGAAATTATCAAATCCGACTATGATTCCCTTTTTTTTTTCCTATAGTTCTTTCTAGTTTTTAGATCGATCTGTTCATCGTATGAAGGAGAACTGGAAATCGATGTGGGGATCGGGTTTCTCAGTTGGCATCGTAATTATGTTTCTTCTCTTAGAAAATTTGCTGTTCTTCTCGGTATGTTGTAAATTCTTGCAAATTCGTGCCGTCGAGTTGCTTGTTGATTTGTTCTCGAGGAGGA